CAACATTATCAACTGAACTCTGCTCAGAATCGTTTTTTTCGTTAGCACGGGTTAATCGTTGCTTACAGATGTACATTCAATTTCCGCCTGTATCCTACCTTCTCAACTTCCCTCCTATAACAATGGCTGCACCCACGTGCAAAGTATGTCCGTCCTTTTTTAGATTCTAAGTGGAGCGAAGAAGCTTATGATTTTACAAAGATGTTTATTTTTTTTTCTGTGGACAAAATTTTTACCAGAAGACTTGCTCCGACTTTTACGTGTAGCAACTTTTCTGAAAGGGTGAGCATCACTATCAACTGAACTCCACTAATTTTCAGTATTTAAATAATTGTCAACATTTGGTTTTATCATAAAAACACGATTTTTAAAATGTTGTTTCGTCTTCTGAAAAATTTGAAATGGTGAAGCTGTCGAGTTTTTCCGGAATCCTTCGTATATAGTCAAATAAGAAAACGGCGGAGCGCGTGATAAGATGAAAATGGAAAAACTGTGTTGAGTATGAGTCACTATGCGTTACAACGGAATTATTAACATGAGAGGTGACGTAAAATCCTCGGGGAAAAGATAAAAAATAATACAATTTTTAATTTTTTCGAATAAAATTGTATTATTGCTGTCGCCATCTTCATGACTTCCATTGCCGTAGGAATAACATAATATTACTCCCCACCACTCGTCTTCAACAATACCGTTGCTGCTACTAAAATTGAGTGCACTAAACGGGAATGCCACAAAGTTCTTATCCTTCAACAATTTTCTATTTATTCAAACGTGCAGTTTGTTTGTTTTTTTTTTTTTTTTAATAATACCATCATTTTCTTTTTAAAATCTACAGTTTAAAACCTAGTATTTCAATGTATTTTACATGTTTTTACGGTACAGGGCGACGTAGTGTTGGATTGTCGTGGATAAGAGTGACATGAACACAATAAGATTGAGAACCACCTAGCCTAAACTAAACAAAAGATACATTTTGTTTGTAATTTATATAATTTTTTTATGTAATCGTCGCATCCATAACTCGATCTGCTTTAAAATTACTATTGAAATCAAAGAAGTATCGATATGAGTAATTATTATTATTATTATTATTATTAATAGTAGGTTAGGTTTTATAGCTTTATATTTCAATGGTTAGAATTCGTTTTAAACCTAACCTAACCTAAACGTTCAGATTTGTACGGTTTACTAACTATACTACACACAGATGTCATCACTATCAACGTATTTTTGATTGTTCAGATAAAAAAGAAAATACATTTGAATTTGAAAAATAGGGCGTATAAATAATAGATTCTAAAAAAAAATTCAAATAAAGAGATACATCTTTTCCCCGCCTTCTCACTGTTGAAAGTGGACGTGTTTTGTCCGTAGGTTATTATTTTCTATCATGCTTATTTACTTATCGATGTACGCTTCTATAACGGTAAGCGCTGTACAAAAGCTGATTTTATTATAAATCGCAATCGCTACTGTTTTAGAATAAAATCTTAAATTATACTTGCAATACGATTGTATTACACACGTTCGAGAATTAAATAACCGATGAAAAATAAAAACAAACCCCAAAGATAGTAAATTATTATTTTTTTTTTTTTTGTATTAATGATATGCTCGAGTCACTAAAAAAAAAAAAACACCCAAACGAAATAACCCAATGAAAGAATGTTTGTAATTTATGCGTTCGGGAAAAAAAAAATATATATATATATGAGTACATAATTAAACAGATAGATTGAATTCTTCGACGCACTCGGTCCGCGTCGTCGACGGCCCGTAACGAATCTACATAATAATAATATTATACCTACATTTTTTTTTAATTTGCTTTTTTTAAAAAAGGCCATTCTATACGTATACGAGTAAATATTTATAAATCATAGTAAAAACGTTTTAATTATAAATGGACCGAACAACACGTAGGTACCTATATCGTCGTCGTCGTATTATCGTCATAATATATAATAATATTATATTGTATAAATATACGACGACGCTGACGAAGGTTTTTATTTTTTTTTTTATTAGAAAAAACAACATTTCTTTCTCGAGACTATCCGTGAAATGGTAAGCGATAAAAAAAAAAAATAAAAGTCGTTTAAATATCGTGTCGTATTTCTAACACCGCGCGTTAAATAATAAATGGGCTTATATTTATTAAACGCGTTAATACAGTCAACGAATAGAGTTTTCGGTACCTACCCATAAGTATGAGTAATTTTTTAAAACAAATTTTTCGTATAAAATAAAACCAATAATTATTATAATGCGCCGCAGCGGTTTTTTAATTTTAATTTTTTTTTTTTTTTTTAAACACCGGCATTAATAATAATCGGTAAACGCGTTTTAACAAGACTACGCGTATACACGTTATTATATTTATAGGTACGTGATGAATGTCGATCGCTACGGGCATACGCGCAATGCGCATATAAATAAAATATTATTTTTATTGTGTTTTACAATAGATCAGTGTTGATGAAAAAAATAATGTATACCTACACGACTCCGGTACAATAAGATATTTTAATTGATTTCGTAAAACGACGTTTTTCAACGGGCGTCCTCCGTAACAGACCAAATGACTATGGACCGCGTATTCAACCCCCCCTCCCCTCATCCCGCGACAATGGTACCTATCGTGGAAGTGAATATATTGTTATTTCTTTATTCCATAATATTATAGATACGACTGCATCAAATACCTATAGATATCGATAGTTGTTCGATTGCGATTGACGATTCGTGATGATAATTTTATTTTACTTTATTTATTAATATAACAGAACAAGCCCAAAGATACAAGTAACGTAGCAGCGGTTCAATAAAACAAGTAAATCGTTTGGGTTTAAATGAATGGTCCGAGTTGGCAGCGCGCATAAAGCGAGAAAGACGAGAGTCAAGAGAGTAATAATTATATTAGAAGAAGACAGCGGATTCGGGAATGGCGGAAAAGAGCGGGTAAGACTAAGTGGAATTTTAAAAAAGAGTTGAGATAACGGAGTGGGAGAATCTATTTTGCCGGAAATGCGATTGGAGAGGATGATAATGTTAAATAATAAGTGCCTGCGATCGGCGAAGCTGGATAGCCTCAAATCATGGAGAATGGAGGAATAATCGTGAGTCGGGTTGTTGTTATTAAAGCGGAAGGCGATTAAATGAAGAAATATTCGTTGAACACGCTCGATAGCGGCTTTGTCGCATGACGTGGAAGGGTCCCAGAGGACGGAGCCGTATTCCGAGATAGCGTGAACAAGGGAACTGAAAAATAATTCAAGTGAGGAAAAAAGATGGAACTACTGAAAGGTCCGGCTTATGAACCCCAAGAGTTTGAGGGTTTTGAAGCTGTACATTTCAATATGTTTTAGACTTTCAGAGGACAAAGAGTAGGTGTTGAAGTAAAACTTAACTACTTAGTAGTAACTAGTAGTTACTAACCTTAACTATAAGCGTAAACGTATTTTGTACTTACTCTAATATTATTGATACTTGTAGAGACTTGTGTCAAACAAAACTCATGTGGCCCGTCGCCAGTGTGATGGATATCCCCAAAGGAGCTTAAGGTATTCTATATTACATAGACCGCATGCCCGTCTTGTTATTCGATAATGATTAACGATGCGCACGTAAATATACGCAGTTTTCGTCCAAAAATAAACGCAACAAATATTGTAAACGGTTTTTTTTTTTTTGGACGTTAAATTCGAAAATGACTTAAATTTTGACAAACAAAGTATAATTAAGAGAACGCGATACCCGCACATGCTGTCTCCGTCTAGCATAACAAATTCAGCAGGGACAACTCTGTGCTGTTAGTTTTAATATTAGAGTGTGTTAACCCTATTGTCATACTTACCAGGTAAAAATATCGGTGTAACCATCATGGAGGTTGGGTGTATTTTTCGATAATTTAATTTTTAAGCGAGTTACGCAATCGTCAGAATTATAATACCATGCTTAAAAATGAAAATTTCGAAAAACACCTCTAATCTTCCTGGTTGCACAGACAATGTTCTTACCTTTAAAGGCGTTAACTTAAGTTCGATAATATTCGATCAATATCTATTCTATTATTGAATAAGTGAACAGCACATAGTTTTCCCGACTGACCGGCATTAGCACGAATGTATATCGCGTCAACTCAAGTTGAAATTATTAATTATTTTCCAACATTTTTTTTTTTTTAAATCGATTGAGTTAAAACTTATTGAAAAAAGTGGATAAATTATTAGGTCGGAAACTTTAAAACTCTAATTACTCAATTCAATGTCCAGTTTTGGATAATACATAGTATAGGTAGTTGCGGATACAATGATAGTAAATGATTGCTATTCTGAATTGTGCAGCTACGGAATTTGTCCGGCTACTCGACGAGCGACGCAGTGAATGATAATTGTGTTCTCGATATTTTAACGGCTTAAAAAAAAAAAACCGTAATAATAGTACAAAACGATATATGTACGTTCGTGTGTATTACGACGGTGTGCGTATATTATTAGTTTGTACAAAACAGATATTATATAGATTTTCACGGCGATAACGCGCGCGCGTTTTGTATATACGTCGACGACGACTCAAGACACGTGTACGTAACGCGTATACACAGCTACACTGTCGTCGTATCGAGTGTTATAATAATAATAATTTAAAACGCTCCCGTTGAATATCTAATAGATCTAATAACAATAATACAAAAAAAACCAAATTAATAACAAGTAATCCGCTCATTCTGTTTGTTTTCATCGCGCATCAAGTCCGTCTGTCCGACGATCGCGCACGCACACCGTGTTGTCGTGTTGTTGTTTTTTTATTTTCGTGTATTGCAGTGTGTTCACTCGGAGAAACGCTTTTTTAACCAATGCTGCTGCAGGTGAGAATGTAATTATTCGGTTTTTTTTTTCGCCGCACACGCAGACTATATTATAAGTAAACGTGTGTCGTCGTCGTCGTCTTCGTCGTCGTTGTCGTACCTATACACACACACGCACGGGTCTAGTGTAATTACGACGTCATATCGTGTGTATTTAAAAGAGGAAAAAAAAAAAAAAACGAAAAAATATACGAAATAATTACCCGTTGTTGCGTTTTTCTCACGTTATTATAGTACGCTAGGACATAGGTGTATAGGTATATGTGTATCCTCCGATGATACGCTGCACTCGTGCAGACGAAAACAAACACAAAGACCAGTATAATAATAATAATAATATAATAATGATACGCCAGTATTATTATATAGAATAATAGTCGACGGTTTTGTTCGAATTCATTTCGTATTATAATAATATTATCATCTACGCCCGTGATACGCGACGATAAAATCATCGTCACACCTTATAAAATCTGTAATTTACGGTCCTTTTTTTTTTTTTTTTTCAACATTTTTTTTTTTTTTCTTATTATTATTATTTCGTACATAACGTTTTGTAAGGAGCATAATATATTTCGTCTTCGACCGCGTCGACGACGACGCGCGTTTCTAAATATACGCCTGTGTGTTCCTATGTTTTTACCCATACATAAAAATATGTACGCGTGCAGATTAAAGCCGTGTTTCCCGGTGTCGTCGGGAAAATGTGTGGATAGACTTTGGTTTATTATATCCATATCGATTTATATCCACACCGGTTTAGCCTTTATTCGGGGGCCCCAAGTATCATAGACCCGTGGCTCGTTGTCCGTAATGCCACTCTATTGGTACGCCACTGATTATGCCGCACTGTTAATGTTCCTTAGTCTCTAGTAGAATTGAGCTCAATGTTTTTTTGGTTTTGTTTAACCCGGAAACATGTTTTACACTATTTTTTTTATGAAATGAGGTTAAAACCCACCACAACACACGATGCCAAATGCAGTGGCGTTGCAGTGTAATTTTCAAAAAAGATTTTAAAATGTGTTTGCTTAGTAATAAAACCATAGGTAAACTATACTATCAATAAATTTTTTTTTTCTTAACAGTATTGAGAAACTTATTTTTGTTGACATTTCTTCAATCCCTCTGGGAAAATCTGTCCGCGAATTATTTACGAACAAAAATGTACGTAGCGTTTTTGCCTCGCAACGTCCAAATTTAAAAGGATGGATAGTAAATAATTTACAGAATAACTACATTTTATTCAGATTAACATTTCTTGGTTATTTTCTGTTTTGCAAATTGTTCACTTAGTTTGTCACTCTTTTTTCAGACGCCACATTTTGTTTTGTATAAGCATTTGGTTGTGTTGAAACAGTTAAGTCCACATTTACTTCAAATTGTTAAGCCGTAGTATATAAACTTGCTTAAACGTACTTCAGATTTTCAATCATCATTTCTTAATTAACAGAAAATGTACACTCTACTAATGCATGCCCATGTGATAGAGAATAATTTATTTTATTTTAAACAATTTTCGCAAATCCAAATTTTCTTTTTTATACTCTACCTAAATATTTGTTGTAAAAAAATGTATTCATGTACATTATAAATTAATATCCATTTGCTCCACTCAAAAATTAAAATCAAAGACATTTAATACACAATTATAAAATTCCAAGTTTTTATAGGTATACAATTTCAGGTTTTCAAGAATTTCTAGGATACGTAAAACCTTGTTAATAAAACATTATTTATTTATTTATTTATTATACGAGTTATGCAATACACATGGCATCTCGTTTTTTCCCCTCCGTGCGGCAATGATCTTCTGAACATAATATTCTTGAAGGATTTTTATTTAAATTTTGAATTTTCTCTTTAATGTCTCAACAAGTGCACCCCCTCTTCGATAAAATTATTTACATTAACATCTAATTATTTTACAAACATATAATATTATATAAAACATAAGCAATAAGAATAGTTAATGGGATGAAGTATGTTCTTGTTATGTCCAGATATTTAAACCGTCTAAATATACCAACAAATAATGCAAATTAACTTTCTATTATTTGTCTTGTATGTGATAATGCGATATATTCAATGATAATCCCATAAGAGTGATTTACACGGTGCCAGTGGTTGGTATGTTATCTGGCAAGCTATCTGGAAAGTCACTAGCGTGTTACAACTGGAATGCGAACTTGCTGGCGCTTATTGTTTACACAATTCCAGTTACTGATATGCTACCGCCATGCGCCGGCCTATGAGTTATAGAAATTTGAGACAACATTTGTGATAACTTGATAACAACATATCAAACACATGCGTGATTGAGCTTATCTTCAACTGCAACTTTTGAAATTGTTCTGGTGCCAACCTGATCACCGTTTCGAATTCGTGTAGATCATGTAAATCTCATATAATTATCTCTGTCGATTTTCTCAATATTTGTCTCATAAAATGCAAAAACCGAAAAAAAACGGGAAAATGTACGAAATATATTTGTATAATATCACGATTTTTTCTGTAGACTAATTTTCTACCAGTAATTTTGCTCCAACGTACAATGAAAGAAATTTTTCTAAAATTAATTTTTATGTAGGAGGTACTTTAGAGGGGCTATTTTTCGATTTTCTCAGGAGTTTTCTCAACAATTATGAAAAACCGAAAAAAAAAAAACTTAAAATGTAAGAAATATATAGGTATTAGTTAAAATTATTACGGTCTTCTTTTTTATTGTGGATAACTTTTCTACCAGCAATTTTGCTCCAATTTATAATGATGACAATTTTTCTTAAAGGAAATCGGTGTGGAGGTATTTTAGAGAGGTCATTATTTGATTTTCTCAAGAGTTTCTTAAATCTTAGATCTTAGATTAAAATAAAATAACAAAATTTTGTATTTGATACACAACACCGGATTTCATTGCTGTGGTATAGCGGAAGGGGAAAACCAAAGCGCCAGTAGAACAAGGATATTCGATCTACTGGCATTGATTAGTTATTGGCGTGCCAGTGACTCTCTGGCTTCGCCAGCAAATTGAGTGAAACGTTTATACGTTACCAGTCGCTGGCATTCAATAATTGGCAGTCTCGTCTAATACGCTGATTGGTAAATCAGCCTATAGAGTATATTCTATATTGTACGCCATATAATCTTAAGATTTTTTTAAAAAAAACCATTAGCATATTGCATATACCTGTATGAGGGTTTTGTGGTATGAATTTTAAGATAACCGATTTAAAAACCTCTTTTAACAATTGAAAATGTATCAAATTTGATGTTCACCTCCATAATTGGCCTTTCAATTCAAGAGCATAGTATATATTCGAAAAAACTGAGACTCAATAAGGGACGCGAAGAAATAGATCAGGATGATGAGTTACAGAAACAATTTTTTTATCACTTTATTTAAGCAATACTAATTATTAATTGAAGTAGTTAATATATTAAGTATGAAATTAATATTAATATATTAATATATGAAAATACCATTCACAGTTCCAATGTCATTTGGAATACTACGAGTATATAGGTATGCAATAAGACAATTATTTTAGCCATTCTAACTCTTCTTCGTGCGGCTAAATTATAACATTTAGAAGCATTTATTATAATGAGTTTGATAATTCTGAAAAATAATACAGACGGTGAGATGATTCGCCCATGTCAACATTTTCTGCTACTGATCTAATAATTGAACATAAAACACAATTTATTTATAATTATTTGTTAATAGTTCACTGAAAATATTAATTATTCATCTATACGAGGCTATAGTTGCAAGTTACCAATGGGTAGCCAACAATTTTTGTCGTATACGAATCTCGGATCTCTTCTATTTTAGTATTTATTATTTTTAATATACATTATATTATTGTGAATGATTTCCATTATGGGCATTATAAAACACCGACCTGAATAATTTAAAATGTGTAGATACGTTCACTATAAAGAAATATAGGTAATAATCTCATTTTTACAATGTACCAGCATAGGTAAGCATATTAGTAAACTTAATACTCAATTGAAGGCTAAAATGGCTTTGAAACATATTATCTGAATAATAAACAATACAATTTTCCATGTATTTTGCAATTCAGATTGGAATGTCTTTTTCTTTTTGGTTCTTACCATCATCATTGTTATTAAAAGTAAATATAGGTACACCACAGTCTAAAAACAATTTGAATGTACAAAGCTGTGCAGCTGTTGCCAAAATTATTTGACGATTAACGGTCATTGCAAACTATTAAAGAACACATAAAACAAAACAAAAATTACATCAAGATGACCATAAACCATAATTATATTATGAAATTATAAAAAGTCTCAAGAATATTTCTTTTTAAAAATCTTAACTATACGATTTAGGATAATACGATTGGGTAACTGGTTGAAAATTATAATGTTATATTGAAAATATGGGTGGTGCCAAATCTTTCTCTGGCGAATTCGATGGAAATCACAGATAACGTTTCTGAATCATTTTTTTTCGTTCGTGTTGGTTACATAAATTTAACGTTATCAAACCTTAGATGTTTGTCTCTTACAGAGTCTATTGCCACATCCGTCACATTGTATTGCTCGCGAATTGTATCCATTAAGTAAAAATAAAAATACTATTACACAAATATTATTTCGCTGTACGCAAATTAATTCACTTATTATTTATTTACCAATAAATGTATGTGTGGTAGATAAAAGAATTTGATTTGTACTTTCTTTGTTACTAATTGCGCGGTGCTTTATGTCACTCGTCGCATTATGAATATATCATAGAAAGTTGTATTGTCCATTAGTTTTGGAAGAGGATTATAAGGTATACATTTAGTAAAGATATTCAACTATAAAAAAAAAATAATAATTATAATAAAACAAATATTTAACAAATGTAACACGATCAAATATGTATACGATTTTTATCGAAATGAACATTTCCAACGTATATCGTTCGAATTTTTCCGTACTCACCTAGATGTGTAAATCAAAAATCATAACTTTTACACATTTCAGTTTCAATTCAGTAGAAGTGGTTTTCACCGTCGTCATACTCTTACTACTACATTAGTTGATCGTTAAAACTGTTGAAATCGTTTTCAACGCAAACGATAACACTTTTATTACTTCTATCAAATTTTGATATTGGTTTTTTTCGATCGGGAGATACTGCGTACATAGATAAATAAATTTAAATGTATAAAATTAGCATCGATAATATTCCACTGTTACTTCCTATTTTACTTCCTAATCGAACTTTATTACATTTCTAATATAATCTATCATGGCTTGTGAAGTGTATACTGTATGATATTATAATACATACTAGCCACTAGGTACCTATACGTATTAGTAATATAA